CGGGCTTGGGACCATAGTCACAGGGGACATCAAACTCAATTGGCATAACATACTATAGAAAACATTGTTCCACCTCCTACTTTGGCGAGTAGCGACTGGGATCTTAAAAGCTAGCAAGCTGCCATCTAGATGCAACGATGGGTCTCTCCTCGTCAAGAAGAAAGAAGAAAACCAAAATTAATGGAAACAATCAGTCCTAGCGACTGGTACACCATCTGATCTGCAACCTATACAACTATGAGACCAGAAGAACTAGATGGTGCCCAGCTACCACTGTCATCCACTTGGAAGGGATGTAGGAGATCCTGGATAGAGAGGGAGAACAATGTGGAACAAAACTCAAAATCATTTGGAGGTAAAAAAAAAAGAAGGTGGGGACCAGGTTTGCTGGTCCAATAGAGCCTGGTGGAACCACTGAGACTATGGCCCCTAGCTGCCCTTCAGGTCTGGAATTGAACCCACACCTGTGGTTTCCAGCCAAACAAAGTACAGGCATTAAACATTTACCTCAAGTAGACACACGCCCTGGAGAGAACAATCATGGGAGAAGGAAGGGCTGCTTATGCACAGGGAGACAGCTCAGGGGGCAGGAGTGCATGGAGGGATGGATAACTGGGAAGAGGTAACTATGGGGAGGAAGTGGGAGCTGTTGCATTGTGGTAAACTGTGGTCAATGACATGAGACAAAGTGTATGTGAACTGCTGTATGGAAAGTGAATTTGCTCTGTAAATCTTCACCCAAATCACAATTAAAAAAAAAAAAAGAAGAAGTAGATTGCCCAACCTTCCTCCACATCATTTAAGTCGACTCTATTTTGAAGTGGTAGCTCTTCCCTAGTTGTATTTTGAGTGCTTTCCGACCTGAGGAGCTCATCTCTGGGAAGTGTATCAGACATTTCAGAGCTATTCATAAAGTTTTCCAGTAAAATATCAGATAGTGTTTCACTGCTTTTCATAAGGTTTTCACTGGCCAATTCTTTGACAAGGTGATGGCCTCTCCCTTCTTCCTAGTCTGTATTAGTCTGGAAGCTCTGCTGAAACCTGTCCACCATGGGTGACCCTGCTTGTATTTGAAATACTGGGGGGATAGCCTCCAGCCGCACAGCAACACACAAGCCACCACAGTATGACCATCTGACAGATAAGTGGAGAGAGCATCATTATCTGCATCAACAGCCTAAAGCTGATTCCTATGAGGCAGAGGTCAGACATATCTCTTCTCTCCAAACTTTTTATCAATTCTGACACCATCTGTCCCTCTCATGGCACTCTACTTCTCTGCTGTGTGTGATAATTCATTGCAGTGGCCACACAGAACTCAAAGACCATAGTCACAACTACAGGGTTTATTAGGGAATTAACAGGGTTACAATTTAGGATCAGAAAGGACTCAGGATACTGTTCTTCAATCAGGACAGCTTCTTCTCCGGCCCTCAGTCTCAGCTCTGCTTGGGTAAGTGTTACAAAGCTCATTTAGTTCTGTTGATAAGTGCTCTGAGGTACCACACTCTGCCAGCAAGGCTCCTGCCTGATGGCACAGCTTTCTCACTCCATGGACCTGGAAGTCCTGAAAGCTTTGTGTGTGTCCTGCTGCTCTTCTGGTTCTGCTGTTTCTGCTGTTGCCATTTCTCTGCCACTGTTTTCTCACTGTTTCTGGTGTTATAATTCTTTCTCTGTCTACTGGGTCAAGGAGGTTAACAGCACAGGCATCACAGGACCAAAGGACGTGCTCCACTTTCTTCTTGGTCATCATGAAGTCCCTCTCTGCTTTGGAATTGGCTCTCTTTTAAGCCTAATGGGATCACAAAACTGACCAATCCCTTTGTTAGGGTTCCGTATACATTATTTGCATGGTCCTACCCCCACAAGCATGCCATGAACCTTATTTACATTATTGGAAAGCTATTCAATCCCCTTGGTGGGCCACAGCACTTCATTTGCATAGTCCCACCCAGTCATTTCATTTGGTGGGAGTTACAAACACTATGGGTAGAAGGTTCATACTAAGTAATTCACTGTACTGCATCTACTCTATTTTATGGCATTTATAATACTCTCATTACATAATTTACTTACTTATTATGGTTATTGTTTAGTTTTTTTTCCCTAGCTAGGATGTAAGCTCTAGGAAGGCAGTGTTTTGTTCACTGATGTATCAGCAAATGCCTGAAATAGTGCCTGGCATATAATAGGTGCTCAATGAACAAATAACCTTCACTGTGCAGGCCAAAGTCTTAGTAATTTATTGTTTTAGGCTCAAAATTCTGTAATTAGCTTGATAAAAGGTTTTTTGTGCCTTAAATACAGCATGGAAACAGCTGCTGTACTGGAAAAAGCCACACTGGCCTAAAGGTAAAAACTCTGCAACAACCTGTATGCATTGATGATCGAGAAACATAAGGGTTCTGTTCCCCAGTGCTTTGACCCCAGAACTGTGACAGAAGTTGGGGTGGGATGGGAATAAATCCCCAAAAGGCTTGAGAATGTATTTCTTTCCACACTGGTAAAATAGAGCTCAGAGTAAAAATTAGGATGCATTCATTATAGGTTATAAAATTATATCCAGTGCATAGCTGAGTTTGTGTTCTTAGAATCACACCCTACATATTTGTATTCTTCATTGAAAATGTAACTATTCTATCCTCCAAAAAGTGATTGATTTCCTAAAACCTGGATCCAGATCTAACTTCTGTTGATCAAATATTTAGTCTGAATTTCTCTTCTTTTTTGCCAGAAACTTTTGTTCCAGGGCCTGTTTCTTCATCTATAAAATGAGAGTGTGAGGATGGCAGCTTGTGTTTTGTGGGGCTTAAAAGATACAATTTGTGGGGCTCTATTTAAGAAAAAGGAGCTCTGGTGGTGTAGTCCCTAAGGCACTTGACTGCTAACCAGAAGGCTGGTGGTTCAAACCCACCAGCCACTCTTTGGAAGGAAGATTGGGCAATCTACTTCTGTAAAGGTACCACCTCGGAAACCCAAGGAGGGGTCACTATGAGTCGAATCGACGCGACGGCAGTGAGTTTTGAGTATTTAAGAAAAAAATATAAAATTATTAATACAAAATTGTGTAATTATACAAAATTATGTAATAAAATGAATATATTTGTTTAGAATGTTTAGAAATCATCAGATTTTTAAGTGCTGACAAAACCACGAAGATAACAAACTCCAGCAAAGTAACAATATTACTAACGCCTCATAACCACTGTAATCTTTTTGTTTCTACATTTTTCAGCTGTATGCTCTTTGATTGCCTCCTCATATGATCGTTTTGTACTATTTTTATAAAGGTATTAGGAACATAAACCAGCAAAAATATTGTTTATTATCGATAGTTCAAAATCGTTTTTTTCAGCTTCGCAACTCAGTACTAGAAATGTCCCATCTATAACATCCTCTGAAGTTCTGGGAAAAGCGGTGTTTCAAAGCTCCAGGAGAACTCCAGCCCTTTGATCTCTCTTGGCTTGTTACTGCCGGGGGTTGCCAGGGCAGCTGCCAGGTAGTCACCGCCCTCGACCTCTCCCACCCACCCCACTATAATCATGTCTTTGAAATACCGTGGATGGGGAGTTGGTAGCCGCAGCCGCTGGCCAAGGCCGCGGCCCCAAGACTGTGCTTGGGATGGAGGGTGACTGCTATTTCCTCTTTGCGTTCTTGGAGAATTCGCCAAGTCTTCCAAAGTACTCTGAACTTTGTTGTTGTTGTTGTTGTTATGTGCCGTCGAGTCAAACCCGACTCTTAGCGACCCCTCCTTGGGTTTCCGAGACAGTATCACTACGGAACTAGGATTGCCCAACCTTCCTTCCGAGGAGTGGCTGGTGGGTTTGAACCGCCAGCCGTCTGGTTAGCAGCCAAGTGTCTTAGCCACTATGCTACCAAAGCTCCCACTCTGAGCTTAAGCTCCACCAAATTGACGGTAAATCGACCTCTGTAAGTGAGCTTTCTGAGGCACTGTTAGATGACAATTCTATAACAAGTATCTCGGGAGTTGGTAGCGCTATCCTCTCAATGTAGTGGAGGCTTCATTACTCGCCAGGTAATCTCCCGCAGGGTCTGCGGTGCTTCACTTTCTCCTCCGGAGGCAGCCGCGAACCACGATCCCTTCTCTGGCGGGGTGGGGTGGGGTTGGGGGAGAGGCGGAAACCTTTTGCTACGACACCAGTTGGCGGCCAGAGTCTTGATCGACAAAGGCCTTAGCTAATGGTTCTGAAATAAGCAGTCCTTGTTTATGCACGTACAGCCAATAGAAAGGCGGAAGTGCCGCCAACGGCCAATGAAGACTGGCCTTAAATGGCATGTGGAGGCGGGGATTTCTTCGAGGGGCGGACTCTAGGCAGAGTCTGTAGCGAACTCTGGGAGAGTCAGAAGCATATCCGGTGTTGTCGGAGCTGTGTTGCCCAGTGAGGGAAGGGTAAGAAGATATGTCTGAAACTGGGACTAGGAATCCTGGGAGCGAGAGAAGGAAAGGGGGCAGTTGCTTTTGTTGGAACAAGAATGGGAGTAACCTGTTTTGGACAGATGGGGCCTTGGTTGGCGGTGGGACTCCAGAGGGTGGGGAGGGAGAGGCTAGGGAACTAGTGCTGCGCATGCGCGACCGTATCAGCGTGGGGGGAAGGGCGGGGGGGCGAGTCTTTGGGGTCCTTGGAGGCGTCTAGGTGCCCATTTCTCGCCGGAACGCTAGCGAGCGCTCCTTCTTAACCTGCCAGTTATCCCCCGGCTTTGTTTTCTCCATTTCCCCGTGTGTAGACTCTTGGGTCTCTTGACCCAGCCTTGACCACTTGAAATCAGGATACGACCTCCCCCGCCCCCTCCTTCTGAGTCGAATAGAAGCGAGACCTTACGAGATTGTAGTCACCCGCACCCACCACACACACCCGACCGATTGCCGCTCTATTGCTGGCCCTCTGGCGGAGCTGTCTCTGGGTATGCGGCGGGTCCGGGGTCCCGGACTCGAGAAGGGGCCTGGCCTGGCAGGCTGACCTGTCACGGCGGGGCGGGTGATGTCACACTCGTCTGTGACACGGAAGACTTGGTTACTCGGAAGCCAACAGCAAAGGAGTGAGGTGAAAAAAGAGGCCGGAGCTTGGCCTGGCTTCCCAGGGCCGCAAGGCAGCCCTCTCTGGTCTTACTGGTTACCTTTGGACAGGTGAGGTGGCTTTGCTTTGCTTTGTTCTGAGCCTTGTGGGCGTCTTGCTCAAAAGGCAGCTCAGGAGAGGCATCGTTGGGCGGTGTTTTTTTGTTTAATTTGGACTTTACTTGCTGGAGCTGTGGTAGTAAGTAGATTTTGGTATTTTTGAACATTTGTTGTGGAATCACTACCCCGTGCCAGGTCAGGTTATATGACCTACCCCATCAGCCTTCAGTTGGCCAAACAATAACAGCAAAAACCCGTGTGAACTTGAGACTCTATTCTAGCAATGGTTAACTTGTGAATGTGTAACCCAGTAGAAAAGCTGACTGTGCCAGAAACACAGACCAAGATTTTAAGGTTAAAGGTTAATGGAGAATGGGCTTTTCTAGTTACTTACTGATACTTATTTGTAGTTTATCTTTTGGTTATATGTGTAGTTTAAGAATTTTGTTTCAAGAAAAATTATCCCAGTTGCCTAACCATATTTATTATAGCTTATATAAACACATTAAAATTTGAGTAATTAATTACTAGATGTTTGTATGCTCTTTGGTGTTTTCCTTATTCCTCTTTGTCTAAAATTTTTTTTGTTTTGACCTCAAGAATATGTTGACATTTAGATTCTGTTTTGCTCTTTTCCTCCAGAGGGGACATCATGGTTGAATCCTTGAATACAGTCTGTAATTTGGATCCAGAGTTTCCTTCTTCTATTATTCATCTTGTTGTGGAAACATGGCTTAGTACACTTTTTCTGCCCTTCTCACCCTTATTAATCCACAGTCTTAACTGTCCTAAAGAGTAGGAAAGATGCAATTAACCCAGATACTTAGCGTTTCCAGTTTTTTTTCTAGTTATAAATATATAGCGCATGCTCATCGTAGAAATACTGAAAAATGCAGGAAAAATGTATATATGATTAGCACGGGGATATATTATTACTATTTTAAGATTTCTATTGGCCTGTGGCTGGAATTACTTTAATGAAAGCTTACTTTCCTACTATACCGTGGACTAGTAGAAAGAGTACTGGACTTTAAAGGCCAAAAGCCCAGGGATCTAGTTCTGGCTGTGCTATTTATCTTTTGATGTTGGTCAAATCTGTAATTACCAATGCACTTTATGTTTCACACAGATTTTCTTAATGACATTCAATAAGCCAGTAAGCTGGGAAGAGCAGGTATTAATCATCATCCTTATTCTACAGATGAGGAAGTTGAGATGATCTTACGTGAAATGATTTTCCAAGGTTATGTGGTAGAAAATGGTAGGACTTCTGTCTTCAAATTCAGTGCTGTGACACTATCCTGCCTTATTGAATTTTTTTTTTTAGTTTTTAAAGTGGGACTAAACATTCTTAATGAGCCCTGGTGGCACAATGGTTAAGCATTCGGCTGCTAATCAAAAGGTTGGTGGTTTGAACCTCACCAGCTGCTCAATGGGAGAAAGACGTGGTTTGCTGCCATAAAAATAGAGCCTTGGAAACCTATGGGACAGTTGTACTATGTCCAATATGGTTGTTAAGAGTTGGAATAGACTCAGTGGGAGCACAAATAACATTCTTTCTTTTTCTCATGAGTTTATGTGAAGATTAAGGGGGATGATGTGTGTGTGTATGTATGTATTTTGAAAATTATAAAATTTTATGTAAATGTAGTCATTGGTACCTTCTCTAAGGTACTACTGCTGGCCTGAAGAGTTTCACGTTCTTTCATTAACTACCCAAGGGTATTTAGTCTCCTTCAGGCAAACTGCTGACTACAGTGAATTAGATTTGTAGCAGTAGTATCAAAGGGGTAAAAATGAAGATTTTTCGTACTGTGACTTTTTAAGAGTTTTTAATAGTGTGACTTTTAAATCACATAGTGTGACTTTTTAAAATTTCTGTTTTTAACTAGAGTTGTAATGCTGTTTTAAATTTCTTTTGCTACTTTGACTTGCCTGTTGACTTTGGTAGAAATATCTTCCATCCCACCTTGTTTTGTTCCCCCAGAGTTTCTAACCAAATTTTATAGCAACTTTCATAGTTTTTGTATTTTATATACTTATTTAATAATTTTTATATACACGTTTTTGCTTTCTGCAAGACAAGTGTTCAAGACCAGGGGAGAAAGACTTGTAGGAATTGACTTTTAGGGCCACTTGCTTGACCCGTATGGAGCTCTGGTGCATTGTGTAAGGCATTTGGCTGCTAACCAGAAGGTCAGTAATTCAAACCCACAAGCTGCTTGCGGGAGGAAGATGAAGCAATCTACTTCCGTGAGGATTTACAGCCTAGGAAACCCAGTGGACGTCACTAGGGGTCGGAATCCACTCGTGGAAGTGGGTTTTGTTTTGTTTATTTTGCTTGACCCATGGAGGTGGATTCTGCTCTGAGCTATCTGAGGAATGTTGATTTGAGGTTACAGCACTCTTAATGTGGTAATGGGTCTAGATTTGCTCTAGAGATTCTTGATTGCTATTTAAGTATGGGGGATATTGAGTGGAATCAGATGCAAATTCTGCTTACAGCCTAATGTATATGAGAACTTCTGTACAGCTGGAATCCAAAACACTTGAAAAAGGGCTGCAAGGGTGAGGGTTGAGTGGGTGGCTGTTTGCCCTAATCTGTGCCTGCTAAGCATTTGGGTTAAATATGGTGTTATTGGGGTGGGGGTCGAGTTGGTGGTTTATGCTTGAAGAAGATTAAGTATTTGGGATATCAGGGCCTTTCTATATAGAGAGGGAACATTGGTAATGTCAAAGTCTGGTACAAAAGATAATTTACTGAAGGCCATATTTACTCAACTGGCATTCCATCTCCAGTTACTGGTTTGGTTTTGAGGCAGCCCTGTTATGTGCCGTCGAGTCGACCCCCAACTCGTAGTGACCCCTCCTTGGGTTTCTGAGGCGGTATCACTACGGAAATAGATTGCCCAACCTTCCTTCCGAGGAGTGGCTTGTAGGTTTGAACCACCAGCCTCCTGGTTAGTAGTCAAGTGCCTTATGCACTATGCTACCAGAGCTCCTTGCCCTAGGGAGACAGAATTCCGTGTTAGCTAATTCAAGGTTTAGGTTCGAGTTAAGAGAGAGACTGGGACTTCTAGGGTTCATCATATCTGGGATGATCAAAGTCCAGCCCTAGTTGGATTATCCTTGGATTATCTTGAATCTGAACTGACCTACCTCCTAAAGGTGGTAGGGGAAGAATCAAGCTAATGACCATTTATTTCATCAAATTTTCTACCATATCAGTTTATTGCTTATTGGCTATTTAACCACACTCACTGCTGTGGAGTCAGATCCCACTCATAGCAACCCCTCCTTGGGTTTCCAAGACAGTATCACTATGGAAGTTGATTACCCAGCCTTCTTTCTAAGGAGTGGCTGGTGGGTTTGAACCGCCAGCCTTCTGGTTAGCAGTCAAATGCTTTAAGCACTATGCCACTGTTGTTATTTGCCATCGAGTCGCCCCGACTCATAGCGACCCCTCCTTGGGTTTTTGAATTGGGTATTAAGTTGTCTCAAAACGCCTTGCAGCCTTTTGGGACAGGAGATAAAGTGCAGATGTGCCAGAGGAAAGGCATGCATTTAGACAAAAGCAGTTTCAACCAGTAATAAGATTTACCAAATTCCTAATTGTAATTTTCTTAGAATTCCTACCTCCCATTCAGTTTTACTCTCAATTGGGCAAATATAAAGTCTTCATAATATAAGTAGCTGTGAGTTATGGTTTAATAAGATTTTTTTAAAAAAGTAATTTAGAGTGCATATATAAATTAGGCCTGGCATAAATGTCTTTTACAAGGAAGAATTAGAGACATTTTCCATGGATTGTACTGCAGACGTGAGCGTAATGGGCATTGATACCAATAATAGTGGTTAACATGTATTGCACTCCTCCTTTTCACAAAGCACTGTGCTAACCACTTGTTTTATCTCAGTCTTCAACCCTGTGAAATAAGGACTGTTTTACAGATGAGGAAACTGAGGCACTCAACAAAGTGCCAGAAACTTGTTGCATGTCACAATGCTAAGAAAATAACCACTGTCCCTGGGACGTGGCCATATGCAAAGTCTAAAAATTATTCAGTGGGAAGAACTAATGAAAAATTGCAAAGTACCCCCTCTCTTTCTAAAACCACATGAGATTTTTCTTCTCTTTAAGTATTAATTTGGTCCCTTCTGGCATTGTGGGTTGAAGATGGATGATGAATTAACAACAGGAATGAAAACTATGTAACTCACAAACTAATCTTTAATTAACTGAAGCAACAATATTTCTTTGACCTGCTGGTTTAATGTTGTTAAATTGTATACATTGAGGTAGCTTCTGTCCTGGTTTAGGCATTTAGCAGGCTTTTATTTTTTCAAAGGGAAGGACTTTTTTTTAAAAAAGCAAGCTAAAATACATGACGGCTTCTGTTTTGAAAAGCTCTTGGTGACTTTGACATGTTTTATACCACTGTACTTACCAGGTGTTGGAATAAGTTTCTGGAACTTTGCTTTTCCTTTAATTTAAGGTTTTTCCTTTGATGATAATCTTACATTTTAGGACAAAGGTAAAGAAAGACACCTGGAACAAAACAGTGAGAGATTTAAGGAGACTAGCTGTCCAGTGATAAGAATGTTGATTTCCTCCATCCTGGCTCTGTTGTCCTTTCCCCCCAAAAAAGCAAAAACAGACTACAGTAATACTTAATTTAAGACAATGTATTTATTTAAGTTTCCCTTTCTTGGTAAAGCAATGTAGTCACTTCAGTGTTTTGTTTTGGGTGGTTCTGGCATGGGAGGACTGACCTGGGGAACTGCAGAATGGTAGTAACACTTCCAACAGAGCTTTTGCAGTGTATGCATGAAACAGCCCTGGCAAATTTGAGGGTTCTATTGTCCTAATGATGAAGGAATAAAACAAGGCTCTGAACCATATTAAAGGAATTTAGTAATGATTAACACTTGAATGTTTACCTCTGATTTACAAGTAAGTGTAGGCAAATTCCCCATGACTCCCAAGTCACTAACCACGTTGTATTGTTTTAGAGTTGAGTATTTCTAGCACTGGGAAGTGGGAGAGAGAATCTAGTTCTAGATTCCTATACAAATTGGGGTCCAGGGTGAGACCATGCTGGTATTAATTTCATAATCTATTTTAGATTTGTGTTATATTGAAGAATATTTTAGCAACTTGTACTTTTTTGAAAAAAAAGATTTTCATTTAACTTTGAATGAAATGCAATGTTAATTGAGTAACTTGGTTAATGATTTTGAACGTGCCAAGCTTCTTTTAGAACCAGCTGTTCCTGAGTAAGCTATTTTTGAGTTATAAATCCAATTTAATCATGTTCAGCTGAGTTTACATATTGGCCATTGAAATGTGGGTATATTTAATATACAGCTTCTGAGCACAGCTCGTTGAGGAGAGAAACCTGGTAAGTTTATTCCATCTGGCAAAACTTGTAACAACAGTTTTATCTAATCAGCTATCTGCACATTAGTTCTTGACTAATTATAACAGCTAGAGTAAACTATTGTATTTCCTTAATCCTAAAACCCTTTTTCCCTCACATTTGAACATTTCTGGAAAAAAGTGTATCTTACTACATTAAATATATATGTCATTGCATTTCCTTCCCCAAAAAACTATTATCAGAAACCTTTGCATTGAGAAAATATGGTAGTTACATAATTAACTTAAAATTTGGAATAAGTAGTACAGTTGGAAAGCTGAAGTTTTTATTTTATCTTATTTTTGCATGTGTCATTTTTGGGGGGAACAGAACAACAAACTGCTAAGACAAGGAGAAATTCCTATTAGACACCAGCCCCCAACACATGACCTTTGATGGTTTTGGTTTTTCCATCAAGAATTGTGAGAGGGCCCCCGAAAGAAGCAGTCAGTACCCCTTGGGAGATGTCAAAACGCAAACTGGGAAAAAGGAATATCTGTCATTCTCCCCTGCTACAATTTCCATTGAATGGGGTCCAGTTACATGAGTGTTGCCCTTTCTGACTAGCAGTCCCCTGGGTATCTGGTGATTTACCTGCTCTCCCTACCCCCCTTTCTTAACTCTTGAAATTGGAAGCAAGAGGTAATTTACCTTTGCTGTTTGTGAATACTAAGAACTTGGCTCTGAAGGTTGCTTCAGTATTGATGCAAGTTCTGTCTAGGGATGTCATTAGGGATACTAATGAAAGCCTTAAACAAAGACACTTTCCAGATGCTGGATTCTGCCATCCTGTAAGTATGCTCTCTAGAGGACGTGTTCATCATGGTTATGGAAGGCTGTGGTTGGCTCTGCAACAGCCTGCAATAATTGCACCATCTAGATCAAGAGGGCCCAGAACCCCGTGACTTACTGAGGCAGAAGCAACAGCTTTAGTAGATTCTGCAGCTTCTTAAGAGCAGGAACTAGCAAAAGTACCTAGGTGAGTAGCAATGTTGCTGAGAAAAGGAAAGGGGGTACAGTATTTATAAAAATAATGTAAGTTATGTGGTTGCCAGCTGCTGTCCCCCCCCCCCAGGTATTTTCTTAAGCACGCTATGCTAATTTTTTTTTTCTTTAACAGCAACATGTAAAACAATATTGGCATAGCACACTTATAAGAATACCCTCCAGGGAGAGGGTGCAGTTGGCAAACAAACAGAATACATGTGTTACTTGTGTAAAAATATGGTGATTTTAGAAAGAAATCCAGCCAGTGCAATTGTTTCTATTGTGGGAGGGCCTCAGGAAGCAAATGGTATTAATGTTGTGGACTGTGAGAGAGGCATCTTTCCACTGGCCCAGGATTCCTCAGGAAGTCTGTTTGGGGATTGTAACTTCTGTTGCCTAGGTTAATTGTGCTGAACGTTGGCCTAGGTGCTGATTTGTGAGTAGTTGCCTTTCAGACAGCTTGAATCCTCTCCTCCTACCCCCTTTTTAATTTGAAGTGGATTTAAGCCTAATAATTTGTAGAGTTCTTATGTAGAAGAGATGAAAGCCCTTGATTAGATTGTCAGTTCTATAGATTGAACACGCTTCTTGAGGATTGCATTTGAAACAGGGAGCACAATTTAAGGACCTGACTTTATGATATTGATGTATAACCTAGATATAGTTCAGTTAAAAAATGCCCCTATATACCCTTTCTGGCATATTGGGACATTTGGAAGAATCTGAATAAGGTCTATAGATCAGATAATAGTATTGTATCTGATTTTCATTACTGAGGTATTTAGGGGTAAAGGCATATTGGGTCTGTTAGAAAGAATTAGTATTTGTAAGCTTTCTCTATATTGTATACTATATATAGAGAAAGGATAAATCAAATGTAAAATACTAATATTTAGGAAATTTGCATGAGTGGTATACAGGAATTCTTTGTACTGCTGTAACTTCTTTGTAAGAAGGGTTTTGAAATTATGTGAAAAAGTAAAATAGAAAAATAATCCTCTCTGCATAAATTCCATTTGATAGTAATAGGAACACATCTTCTTTTTAAATTGTGCATCTCTTTTCAGCTCAGTTGTAAAATGAATTAGGTCTATACTGTGTATTTAAAGTGCAAGTCTTAGTGCTAGACCCACCTTTTTAGCACCCCCCCCCCAAATCCTTGAGGTTCTGTGCCTTTTCTGAGGGAATTCTCTAGCATGTTATAAAATTGCTTTTTTATGTTCCAGTGACTGAGTCTTTTTAACTAGATTGCTAATTGAGAATTTCTTTAAGGAGCAAACACACTTTTAAAGGGGCAAATTACCTTCTAAAATAATAGAAATGAAATGATAGTAATGCTGGTTTGGGGGAGAAGAAGATGGCTTCATTTCCTCTGTCCTCTTGAAAGTGGTTGAGTATTATTGCACATGCTTTCTAGGAGGAAATTATTATATGGTTATGTTTAGGGCAGTGGGAATTTGGGTATCTTTTTTCCAAACTTGCATGTTCTTACTATTTTTTATAAGAAAGTTATTTGTGTTATGTTGTATGTCCCACTACCTTTAAAATAACCTCTCTTCCTGTTCTTGATTCTTCAGAGCAGTGGCTGTGTCCCACAGACTCTGGCACCATGAACATATTTGATCGGAAGATCAACTTTGATGCGCTCTTAAAATTTTCCCACATGTAAGTGTTTTGACCTTGATGACTTCCTTAGTACGTTTCTTTTCACGTGTGGTTTCTCTTCCTGGTTCATTAGCTTTTGTATGTCTATGCTAACAATTAATTTTGCAAGACTCCAGAAGAGTTGATACAAGTACTCATATTTCTATGGCTGCAGTGTGGTCATTGGAAAGTCATTTAATTATTCTAGTGTGGGTACTGATTATTCATAATTTTAGGATTTGGCTTTTCCTCAGCATTTAAGATTTTCTATTAACCTGTTTTCTACATGTTCTCTATTTTTCATTATGTGCTTTCTCCAGAATATCTCAAATTCTCTTTAATATAATTTTCACATATTCTCTTAGAAGGGGAGGAGAAGGAAAATTGATTCTTAGCTTGGAGATAGTATTGGTCCTCAGTGATGGTCATTATTAACATTCTTTCCTAGAACCCCCTCAACACAGCAGCACCTGAAGAAGGTCTACGCCAGTTTCGCCCTCTGTATGTTTGTGGCGGCTGCAGGGGCCTATGTCCACGTGGTCACTCACTTCATTCAGGTAAGAGCAATTTTCTCTCCTGGTTGCTATGGTACAAATGGGAGTAGGAGGAAACCCGCTCAGAAGAGTGGCTCAGACCTGTGCCCCTCTGATCCTTATGAGTGCTTTGTGATCTGAACTTTAACTAGCCATTAAATCAGGGCATATAAACCCATTTAAATTTTCTGATAACCCTATCCCCTCTGGGTACTGAAAACAGATTATATTAACACTAACACTGAATGATGTGCTGTATTACAAGATTTCACTACTGGAGGCATGATGTATACTGGGGCTCTTCTGCACAGTAGCTTTTTTATTTTCTCCTCCATTCTTCCTCTTTCCTGAGTGAAGTTTTGAGTGACTGGAGTACTTGGATATAAACCATTGGTTGCATGGTTAATTATTAGTTAATATACACAGCTTTCTGGGTGGCTTGGTAAAGACCTTCAACAACTCATTTACCTGTATTAAGGGAGACTTTGGGCTAGGCCAGAAGGAATAGAAGGGACAATTGGAGAATAGCCAAAAAAGTTTTTTTTTTTTCTGCGTATATGTATATTTTAAATGATCAAAAAGGGGTTACTTTCACATAACCATAATTGTATTCCAATTCTCCAGACTAAAATGTATTTCAAGCACCTGTCACTTTAGTTTATCTCTCCTATTTCTTGGGCGAGTCGCGCACATAATTTGATATGGGTAGTTGGATCCAACAGCTACAATGTAGTTAATGGGCTCCCCTGGCCAGAAGAGCCTCTAGCATTCCTCGTGGTCATAACTCTGTACTTTTCAGCTTTTGGTGTCTTTTTTTACTCCCCACCCCTGAGAAAACACTGCCTTTTTTTCCTTTCTTTCTTTCTTTTTTTTTTTTTTAATTGTGATTTGGGTGAAGATTTACAGGGCAAATTCACTTTCCATACAGCAGTTCACATATACTTTGTCTCATGTCATTGACCACAGTTTACCACAATGTAACAACTCCCCTCCCACTTCCTCCCCATAGTTACCTCTTCCCAGTGTCCATCCCTCCATACACTCCTGCCCCCTGAGCTGTCTCCCTGTGCATAAGCAGCCCTTCTTTCTCCCATGATTGTTCTCTCCAAGGCATGTATCTACTTGAGGTAAATGTTTAACTCACATACCTGTATTTTCTTTGGCTGAAAATCACAGGTGTGGGTTCAATTCCAGACCTGAAGGGCAGCTAGGGGCCATAGTCTCAGTGGTTCCACCAGGCTCTATCGGACCAGCAAACCTGGTCCCCACCTTCTTTTTTTTTTTTTTTTTTCCCCCAAGTGATTTTGTCTATGCAGGATCTCCTACATCCCTTCCAAGTGGATGACAGTGGTAGCCGGGCACCATCTAGTTCTTCTGGTCTCATAGTTGTATAGGTTACAGATCAGATGGTGTACCAGTCGCTAGGACTAATTGTTTCCACGACTTTTGCTTTTCTTTATTCTTCCTGCTCTGGGCGAGGAGAGACACCCGTCATTGCATCTAGATGGCAGCTTGCTAGCTTTTAAGATCCCAGTCGCTACTCGCCAAAATAGGAGGTGGAACAGTGTAACACTGCCTTTTCTTGCTGCCTCCAGATTAAAAGCAAATATCAGAAGTTGAGTATTTGAATACATTTGAAATAAATTTGAAACTTTCAAGTGTTTAATTATTGACTCTCGTGGCAGGCTGGCCTACTCTCTGCCCTGGGATCCCTGGGATTGATGATTTGGCTTATGGCAACACCTCATAGCCATGAAACTGAGCAAAAAAGACTGGGACTTCTTGCTGGATTTGCTTTCCTTACAGGTACGTTAAGGGTTGGTCTGATTTTGAGTAGGAAAACTGTATTTTTAGTATCTTCCCTAAGGCCTGAGATTTATATTTATTCTGATTCACATCAACTGGCACATTCCTATTATCTACCTATTCTAGTGATGTAATTTCTTCAGAAGAGTTATTTTTGTAGAGTCTTCCTTAAAGGATCTTCCTCCACTCTGGTTATCTTCTTTAACCCTTCTGGTTTCCTCTAATGTTGTCCTATCCAGTCTTTGAGTATATTTTGTCATGTGCTGCTTTCTTATTTTATATAGAAATCACCTACTTCTCCATCCAGAGGGTCAGTTTTTTGTGACCAGGGACTGTGACTGCTGCTTTTGTATTCCAAAATGGGCATTGTGTTGTTGAATAACTGAGGTTCAAGAGCTTAGGTAGCACAATTTGTTAATGGTAGACATGGGACTAAATTAGGCCTGAAAATTTTTCACAGGAACATCTGTTCTGAGCTTTGTGAACAGTTAATTAAAGCCATACATTGAGATCTGTTGTCCAGGGCACTTTGCTGATTCTCAGGAAAGGAATTAAAAGCAGAGCTCTTCTGGAATTATCATTAAGGGAAAACAAGACTCAAGCTACATGATAAAAATTACTGCAAAGCAACATTTGAGTTAATACAGCTTGTTCTGAGTGACATTCCAATCTATACAGTGTTGAAGAAATAATAGAAAGAGATTTGGGGTTTAAGATTTTTGAATCAAGAACTGGTTTTTTTTTTTTTTTTTTAAAAGATATTTAATAGATGGAATTATCAGAAGGAGAGAGATGAGTAGCCAGAGTGGAGGAAATGTTGAAACTGGACTTGGCAGGTGCTCTTGCTAAACCAGTCTGGCCCTTTTTTGCCACAAAAGGAATCTAGTTCTGCATGACTACAAGGTTGCTGGCCACAAGGGATTGCTTTGCTCTTTTTCCTTTTCCCGTAATCCCTGATCTGGCCCACATTTATAGTCATTATAATGTCACCCCTCTTAAAAATTTTGCAGACGTATAATTTAGCTTCAAAATACTTTTCATGCCAGCTTTTTTTTTTTTTTTAATCAAGTATCTATTCCTTCTGGAGTGAGCTGTGATTTTCTAGCTAAAAAGAGTTTTTGCAGGTATATCTATCTATAAATAAATAACTCAGGAATATAAGTTCTCTTGAAAACAATTGGAAGGAGAATTCATTCACATATTTTTGTTAGTTTTTAGGTGTGTGGGCATACCTATGCTGTTAACAATCAGCTTTTAGACAAGAATTCTTTTCAAGAGTTGATGGTAATGTTGCATTCTGGTGCTTTGTTTTCTAGGAGTTGGACTGGGCCCTGCCCTGGAGTTGTGCATTTCCATCAATCCTAGGTAAATATTTTAGTAGCCTCTTACGTCTTTTTACTTTTGTGAGTATACTTTCTATTTATAGACTATAATCTGTAGCCCTCAATCTAATGGTCTTTTTTCTTTTAATAGCATCCTTCCCACTGCTTTCATGGGTACAGCAATGATCTTCACCTGTTTCACCCTGAGCGCACTCTATGCCAGACGTCGTAGCTACCTCTTCCTGGGGGGTAAGTATGGGCTGGAAAGCAGGGAGAGTGTTTCCACGTTAGCCGAATTCCTCACTAGGACTCTTACTCTTATTCCTCCAGTTCCCTTGTGACTGTTGGGCTGAAATCAAAAGTTGCCTTTTTTTTTTTTTAAATGATGGTCTTAATGAGACTTCTTTACTTTTATTTGGTTTCTCTCAAGATAGCTTCTGCCATTTCTTACAGGTATCTTGATGTCAGCCATGAGCCTGATGGTCTTGTCCTCACTGGGCAACCTTTTCTTTGGATCTGTTTGGCTTTTCCAGGTGAGATTTTGCATATCACTTTTCAGTAGCCATTTGCCTCACTGCTTTTTCTTGCATAACCATAAAGCAGGCTACACTGAGAGTCCTCCAGGGTGCTCACCTTTGTCAGGCAGTGCTCTTCAAAGCCTCTACACTAACCCTTGTAGGGTGGACCCCTCTGCTGTGGTGAAAGTACAGAGTAAACAGCAGTTAGGTATCACTGAGTGAGGAGAAGACCATTTACTCAGAGATCATTTGTTTAAGGCCAGTCCACCAGTGGCTTCTTAGTGGGTGAAGCTCTTCCATTGATATAAGAAAATGGGTGCAGAATAATGGGGTCTTCATCATAGACTTCAGTTCCCATTAATGTTTATGTCACTAAGGGGAGCATTTGAGATACTCACAAGTAACTGAGAACCAGAAGAAAGTATATCTTTTTTTGGCTACAGTGTCTACCTTTTGGTGACCTCATTTCATTCTTCTTTTGTTAGGCAAATCTGTATGTGGGGCTGGTGGTCATGTGTGGCTTTGTCCTTTTTGATACTCAACTCATTATTGAAAAGGCTGAAAATGGAGATAAGGATTATATCTGGTGAGTGTAAGATTTGGTCTTTAATGAGTACTAAGGGTGAGACATGCAGTTCTATTCCGTACCTCTTTTCTGAATCCTTTTCCTGACTAACGTTTCTGTCCATATTGGTCGGATTAAGAGTAGAGTAGGTGGCTCTGGCTGAACTTAGGTAAACACGCTATGGGAAAGGTATATGATGGGATACCCATGGTTTTGGAACTGTGTGTCACGTAGCATAGTTTCCTTCAATTCCTGAAAGAAACCGGTATTTTCTTTAATTAAACTAATATAAGTATATATGGTAGTATAGTGCCTAAGGCATTTGACTGCTAACCAGAAGGCTGCTGGTGCTAACCAGAAGGCTGCTGGTTCAAACCCACCAGCCACTCCTCGGAAAGAAGACTGGGCAATCTAGTTCCATAGAGATACTGCCTTGGAAACCCAAGGAGGGGGTCGCTATGAGTTGAATCAACTTGACAGCAGTGAGTTTGGTTTTTTTCGGTTTTTATACGTACTTTTTTTTTTTTATATACCTACTTTTAATAGTGGTTATTTCTAGGCAGGAAAGAGAAAGGGGTTTTTCACGTTTTGTTCTTTATATATTTCTGTTCTTTGAACCTTTAACAATGAAAAGAAAATATACATATGTGCATACATATATATTAAATGTGGTAATGCTGTCTAAGTCTCATGACTAGTTAGTGTAGATTCAGGCTTGAGAATTGGGCCTCTGCTGAGTCCAAAGCCCATGTTCTTTCCTCTGTGCTATGTGGCTTCATTGAGTTGAAAAGGATCTCAGACACCAGAGTTTTACTTACTTGGTTGGTGGTGGAGTGTTGGAGAAGCTGATTCCAGGGGATGGGGTGGGGTTTATGTTCTGCACCTTTGTGGACTTTGAGGTATAATAGAGTGGGAAGGTGATTTCATAATCTTGTTCTTTTCTTTTAGGCATTGCATTGACCTTTTCCTGGATTTTGTTACTCTATTCAGAAAACTCATGATGATCCTGGCTATGAATGAGAAGGTTAGTCATTCCACCATCTGAATACAAGAGAATGCCTTTGAGCTCAGCATCAGTGTTTACTTCAAATTTTAAAACTTGTTCACACACTCTGTAGGTCCAGGGTATCTATAAGGCAGGCCACTGAGTAAGAGGTAAAGCAGAAGCCTTTAGCTGGTGGAGAGAAAACAAAACAAATTCACTTACAAATTTTTTTTAAACTTGTAATCCTGAGATTAGTATTAAAGTGTGGGGGGGAATCAATCTACTAATTTAAAGGCTGAAACGATAATGATGGGAGCCATGGTAGCACAGTGGTTAAGCACTTGTCTGCTAACCAAGAGGATGGCAATTTGAACCTCCCCAATGGTTCCACCCACCACTCATCTGTCAGTTGTCGTACTGTGGTGGTTTATGTGTTGCTGTGAGGCTGGAGGCTATGCCACTGGTAGTTGGTCATGTTATCAGAAGGGACCAGTCCCTGGAAAAGGATACTTGGTAAAGTGGAGGGTCAGCAAAAAAGGGAAGACCCTCAACGAGATGGATTGGCACAGTAGCTACAATAGTGAGCTCAAGCATGGCAGGGATTGTGAGGATGGCACAGGCTGGGCATTGTCTTGTTCTGTTGTACATAGGGTCACTATGAGTCAGCATTGACTCGACGGCACCTAACAACAGCAAGCAGTTCCATAGGAGAGAGAGTTGACGATCTGCTCTTGTAAAGGTTACAGTTTAGAAAACCCTATGGGGCAGTTCTGCTCGTTGCTATGAATTGGAATCAACTCCACATCACAATAATAACAAAGACTCAGAAGAAGATACTTCAAGATGTTGTGTAGTGTTGGAAACCAGCTTTTGTAAATAAATTTCTGAAGTAGATAAATTTATCCATTGGTTATTAATTCTTCCCCTGCCCCCAAAAGAAGTAATCTATATAGGGTTTATTGTTAAACATAATTTAGTCCAACAGTAGATGAACAAATGAAGGCATGGGCTTTTCTTTACAGACCTTCTTAGGGAACAATAGTCAGGAATTAAGTGAGCAGATGGGATTGGTGGTTCTCTGTCTGGGCTGTGCAGCACATGGACTGAGCATCAAGTAGGTGCTTCAGTTTCAGTCAAAGCAACAGAACTTTTAACTTGATTTTTATATTGGGCTTTCACCTAAGATTGAAGAGTTCTACTAAACTAAATTATTTCTAAATGTTGGTTTATGCCCAGGATTCATGCTTCCCCTTCAGGGTGGAGCACTTGCCAGGCCTGATGGAAAGTTGCTTATTTTGCTCTCTTAGAATGTACTGCCAATCTGTAGCCTTCTGTGGTTAGAATCTGAGCTGTGGCAGTTGGAAGAAGCTAAGAGCAGTCAGGTAGCCCATGTGGTACCAGGGGGAGGAATATGGTACTGTTTAACTCTTTTTCTCAAGTCTGTCTTACTAACCAACAACTTTGGGGACCACCAGTGAAAGATGGCTAAGGGAGTATTTCTTTATTTCTTTTTATTTTACTGATCCCTTCCAATCCCTAACCAAAAACAGCTAGTTATTAGCTCACTAAAGAGTTTTAGCTTGAATGTCCAATGCCAAAAATTTAATTGAGTGATTTTTCTCCACTTCTAGGACAAGAAAAAAGACAAGAAGTAAAATGACCATCCAGCCTTTCCCAATTTGACTTCCTCTCCCACACCCCTCATTTCCTCTTTGCACACATTACAGGTGGCGTGTTCTGTGATAATGAAAAGCATCAGAAAAGCTTTTGTATTTTGTGGTTTTCTCTATTTTGAATTTTTTGATCAAAAACTGATTAGCAGAGTATAGTTTGGAGTTTGGCTTCATATACCCGGGGTTCTTCCCCACTCCCTTTTTTGTCAGTCAAGGCTATCCCTAGCCTCTTCCCCTGCTCAGGCAGCCAGTCTGTCATGATGAGGAGTGGGACCAGCAAAGGTAGCAAGCTCCTGGAGTCCTCTTTCCACATGGTCCTGGACTGTTGGCTAGAGAACCACTTCAACAGGAGGTTTCTGCGCAGTTCCCATGGTGCTGGACAGTGTGTTTTCCATTGGAGAGAAGTTTGCTGGCCCTTTTGTTACTCAGGCTTATTATATCTGAGCTTCTATCAACCCTTAAAAGGAAATGAAGAGCCTCTACTGGTGGTTGCTTTGCTTCCTCTGAACTGCTCGTCACTGGTGGTCTGGCAAACACCCCTTTATGCATTGCCATCACAAAAGGAAATGGGGATTTGTATGTATTCCCTTTCCCACCCCTTGCCTGATCCTCAGGGAATCTGCCTGCTTTCCATCCCTGGGGTGGGAGGATTTCACAAAGGGAAGACTAATTCTTACCAGGCATTTATTAAAAGGCTGGATATGTGCAAGGTATAGCATAAAATTCCCAAACTTCCTTTGGACTTTATTATAGTATTTTTTTTATGGTTCTCACCTTAGTAACTGAGTGGCCTCCACCAGGTCACTAAAAGGTCTAAGATAGGTCAGAGGAGAGGTTGAGTCCCTGTGGCTAATTGTAACTAATCCTGCCAGACATAGATGAGGACCTGTTTGGGGCGGGGGTAGGGAGGAAAGGGAGTAGATGACAAAATTTGGTTGGTTCAGAGCAACACAATGGGGCTGTGATGACTTGGGAGGCAGCACACATAACAGTCCTCCAGTACATTTTTGTCTAGACCCACCTGGACATTAATAGTGCCAGGCCACAGATTTGAGGCAGTAGATAAATGTTCATTTCATGAATGCACTTTAGTTTTTGGTCTGTTCACCTGTTTCCAGAAATCTGTAACCTTGCAGGCAGGTGTAGGTTACCAGACCTGCGGATGACCTGAAATCCTGCAGCTTTGTGCTTGCAAGAGTGAGTGGACAGTACCATTGGAGCTAACCAGCTCCTTCCCTACATGGTGCCACAGTCAGCTGGCACAGAAGGGCAGTATCAGGAACAGCTGTGGCTCTGGCTACCCCCAGGGCTTCAGTGGTAAGGGGGACCAAGCCATAAAGCCTCATGACCAGTAGAACACCATTTTTGGCTCTCCCTATAAACAACCAGTGCACATTTTGACACAGTGGCTGTCTGATTTCATAGTGCACCATGTCATCCATTCCATGAAACTGTTCTCAGGCTTTTACTCCTGGAGTGGCCTGCTGCCCACAAAGGCTAACTTCTACAGAAGATGTTGCCCTCTGATTAAGATTTAGCTGCTGCCTCCAGCCTCTGGCCTGAGAACTTCCTAAAGGGACTTCCTTCCTTTTAAGCTCCCTGTTAGCAGCTCTTCATAAATTTGGTGATTCTCTGCCAGGCCTGAGAATCAGTTAAATTTCTTGAAGCCAAACTCCACCTCTTGTGCTTTTTTGCTTGGGATAAAGGAGTTTTTCTTTAGAAACAGTGCCAAGAATGACAAGATATTAAAAAAAAAAAAAAAATACTACTACTTTTAAGGAAAATACCTAATAGGTTTTTTAATACAGTAATCACTGTAATTATCACTTTCTTTTCTAGTTCTTTGGTTTTCAGCTCAGGCTGCATTCTCTTAACTCATACTGTGAAGACGGGTGTTTTTGATTCAGAAATAAATGAGATCTACATAGTCTTAATTTGTAAAAAATAAAGAAAATTCCTTAACCTTTTTTCGTGGTGGTGTGTGTTAAATTCAAGGCACAGCTGAACATGGGCCTTGGGTGCTGTCTGGCTTGCTGGCAGGTGCTGGGGGTGGGAATGGATTTTCTGAAAGGAATGAGGGACCCTTTCTTAGGCCTTCAGTCTGTACCTCCAGCTTGCCAGCATTGTCAGGAATCTACTCTATCAAGTACACAGCCCAGACCTTTTCCAGTCCTCACCTTTTTTGTAGTTTTGTTTGTGGTAGCAAGTGCATTTAGTTTAAGTGGATGCATAATGGAAAGAAGGTACTTGATCTGCTCATAGTTTTGCTTACCCACTATGGCCAAGCTGTACTGTAGTGATCAGCAGTGAATAAAACAAAAATCTTGTTCTCAGAGTTCATATATAGAGAGAGATTATAAACCATAGCTTACTTAACAATGTTGTTAGTTGCCCATGTCTAGTGTTTTCATTGCCTAATTTTCTGAAGTAGATCACCAGGCCGTTCTTTGTAGTGTTAATCTGGAAGTGCTGCTGAAACATTCACTATAGGTGACCCTGCTGATGTGAAAGCAACATACATGATAGCAACACAAAAGCCACCACAATACAGCAAACTGACATGGTGTGTGCATTGGAGTAAGATTATTCAATTTTGTGTATGTTTGCCTCTAGTCCTGTTCATTGTAGATAACACTTAAAAGTTTTGACAACAGGTAGAACAGAAATTTGAAGACAGATACCTGACCATCTGGAAGGAATCAATATTTGTGCTCATTGCAGAGAAGGGGGATCCAACAGAATGTGAAAATTACTGACTGAATTTCACATGCATGTGTAGATACATCTGTGAAACCTATATACATGGGTGTAGTCCCAGTCACCTTCCCACACCTGTTCAGCTTGTGTGTGTATTTCCACCTGTGGGTTATTACTCTTACTGGAGGATTATGTATAGAGTGTGTAACTTTGTTGCCTGTAACTCTTGCCCTCCCAGTGTCTGCCTTGATCATTTTGTGCTCACCTCCCCTTTATATTGCCTTTCCCTTCACCCAAGTTAATACACGTCCATCCTCCCTCTAGTTAGCGATTTACTCTCTCTGTCTCTATCACCTCTGGTAACCTTGGAAGAATGTTCACGCCAAAGTGTAAATTTTGACTTTTTATAGTAGTGGTCTCCTATATTTGTCTTTTCACTCAGCATAATATCCTCTTAAGTTTATGTTATGAAGTATATCTTTACTACATGTGTTCAGTAACTTCCAAGGCCACACCTGCAGGCAGTGGCAGATCCATGTCCAGAATATGGGCATGCTGTCTTGGAATCCCATGCTCTTCACCATAGTCTCTATAGGAAACACAAGTTAGTGTCTTGGTGTCACCCCTTCTATCCTGACTTAAATCCTGGAGAGGAAAATGTGAAGTGGTTTGAGTGAAACCTCCCTACAATCTTTGTAGCCAGGGTAGGAGAGTGACCACGCTTTTAGTCTTTTTCTGCCAGCCAGTCCACCACTTACAAATTAAAAGGGTAACACAGCAGGTCATTCCAGGCCTAGCCAAGTTGTAGGCCTGAACTACAATGAGGGCACTGGTGTGAGGCACAAGTGGAAGGACATGTACGTTAGTTTTCCCTCATATCTAAGCTTTAGTGATAGGATCTATGTGATGTGCTCTGTGCTGGGCATAAGTAAAAGTTCCTACTAAATCATTCGCTGCTGAGCAGAGCAGGGAGGTAATTGTAATTAATCATTAACTACTTACACTGAAGTATACGTGGGGCCAAGAGAACAGTGGGAGGCACTTTGGTAGTTTGGGGAGAAGAATTGGGAGATGATACTTGGGATAAGACTAAATCTTAAAGGATGAATCAGTGGGATAAGTGACCAGGTTAAGAAAGGCAGTACTGGGAGTGGATGTTTTCAGGTTAAGGGGTTTTAATGAGAAAAGGGACAGGAGCAGGATCCGAGGAGCTTTGAATAGAATTTGCTGGGGTGTCAAGTTTAGGCAGACTAGTAGGAAATGGGAGAGAGGGGTAGGCAGGTGCCAAGTAACTGAGGAGTTGGTATTGGGTTAAGAAGCTGACTTAGTCCTGAGGGCATCTGAAAAGCCTTGAGTAAGGCTTTTCTTGAGCAAGGGAGTGATCAGATTGGCATTTTCATCTCTGGTGATGAGAATAAGGAAAGGGGCCAGTTAAAAGGCAATTACAATGCCCTGACTGATTTCTATCATTCCCCACTAAAAGGAACCAGGGCTCTTTGGAGATAAGGTGATTAGACATCTGTGGCAAGAAATGTACAAGATATGCCTGAAACATGATATGCTAGGAAATAAGCTATTAAAGATGATAGTATCATTCAAAAGGACCCTGGAGCCCACCGAAAGAGGCTCTCAGTGGCCATGAATGGGATAATTTGAGCATCAATGAGAATTACAGCAGCAAGGGATTGAAAAAAAATACTTTCAAATCTATGAGTTCATGATGATACTTTAAAAAATACCTCAGTGGTCACCTTTGGAGGATGCTTGGAAACCAATCACTTCTGAATATTTCTTAATAAAGAGAAAGAAACAAGTATTTATCCTGCTTTGCAAGAACTGTACTTCAGGGAAACAAAAACTGAGTGTAAGTTTCTCTATAGAAATATACCAGCCAATAAATGAAAGAATTACAGGGTTAGTTTGTTGCTATTTTGTAAACCTCTAATGAATAATGAAGCAAGGCATAATAATCAATAGCTACTAACATAAGAGACAACATGCTACTATGTGTTTCCTGATGAAAGTTAACAATACAACCAATGAAAGTTTTTTTTTTTTTTTCTTTTAAAAAATTGGAACCATTAAGTTCTGTAAATTAGCACTTTACAGGAAAAATAGATCAGAGGGAAATGTGAAATGCATCATGGGAATGCATTGAGCAAAATGGATAACTCTGAGAGGAAACACCACCACTAGTCTGCTAGCTTATCATACTGTGGTGACTTTTGTGTGTTGCTGTGGTGCTGGAAGCTATGCCTCTGGTATTGGCCACCCATGGTGGATGGATTTCATTGGTGCTTCCTGACTAAGATGGACTAGGAAGGTGGACCAGGCACTCTATTTCTAAAACAATTGGCCAGTGAAAACCTTATAAATAACAGCAGAACAATGTC